ATGATGTAATAGTAAATCTATTCATTTAATATCCGTGTAAAGTAGGGTGATTATATAATAATGATGTTATATGACCATAAACATTATTATGAGTGATTCATATTTCATACCAAGGAAACCAATCACCATCAATGTTTTAAATCACTACCCTTCTGAAAACAGAAGTCCCATCTGCAAGAATAAAAGAATTGACACTTTAAAGTGCTTAAAGAAATTACAATTAAAATAAAAAGTAAACTTTATACTTACTATGATCTTGAAGAACCAACAAATATAAGAATCTGGAAAATGATATTTGGGGTTCTTTGCATCACATTAACAGATGCTAAAGCAGGATGGCTACCACTATAGAACATAAAAATAAAAAAATAAAAACACACCTTTAACATGGAAGGGTAGTATTGGAAAATGAACATGATATCAAGTTACCAACCTTACGATTATCTTCTTGATATCTTCCTTGTTTAAATGGACTGATCTCTAAAGCAAGAAACATACTTTTAAGTGTCATCAATTAATTACAATGTATGCTCTAGGATCCATGATTAGGCTAAAGAGAGGATGTCATTAATTAATTACAATGTATGATTCAGAGAAACTATATTTACTTTCATTAAGAGAAAGATATTTACTTTCATTAAGAGAAAGATATGTGTACCTTGATGTGGGAATCATAGTTTGAAGTGTCATAAAGCATGGAAATAAAGAAGACCTGAATTAGGCATAATGATGCAGTTTGTAAGAAGTAACAAACTAAAGACACAACATCTTTTAGAAAACTAGTTTGGGTAAGACTAAGATGAAATCCATAAGAAATTACCAAACATGCATAAATTATGAATCTTTGGAATATCAATATATAGCTTAATCTAACAAAGTTGCTTAAAATACATAAACTATTTGATACATGTCCTTGAATGCATTTCCTCCGACCCATTGTCCACTACATGAGTTCTTGACTCCACAATTATACTTATAATTGGATCCTGAAACAAGGAACAAGATTTCTACTGGTCACATTATTCAAATATTGAGATACTTAAATGATAATTGCTCTCTATGGAAGATTAGATGTTAACTCTTTAAATATCACACAACATGAACAAAGCTCTAACTCAATAGCTATATCCTTGACCTAAAAGTCAAACATGAATCCTACAAAGAAGATAGGAATAAAGAATACAAGAGTATTAAAAAAAATACCGATAATCAATCCAAACATTCTGGAAATCGTGATTGATGTCGTTTTGAAATTGAGCCCTTTGTCAAAGGCATACACCCTGTACCAAATTCGTATCAGTTTAAATATAGGAAATAACTCATATGCTAATTTATGTAATCCATAATATTACGATCATCAGGAAGTAGAAATTAGACTTAAGATGATAATCAATATAAAATATCTCATTGACTAAAGGTAAAACATCATAAAAAACATCCAGATACCAAGGGTTTTAAACTGTAATAACAAAAACCAAATATATATAAACAATGAGAAAACCCTAGGAAAACCAAAATTAAGAACTTGAGGAAGGTAGAGCTTAGAAAAAGAGTTGTGATTTGAGCTAAAAATGTAATATAAGTAAGAGAGTTACATGGATATGGAACTTACATGCTACTAGAAAACATAATTGGAAGTCGATGAAGACTAATTTAGATTTGCTCTACTTTATAAGAGAGGATGAACTGACAGATCAAATGGTGTTGCAAGGAAACGGAGAGTTAAAAAGGTAGACCGACGGACCGAGATGAATGCCAACGAGGATGTGATTTATGAGGTTTTCCAATACTCTTCAAGCATACTTCAAAGATGGGCGATGCAGGTGGACGGTGACGGAAGTGATTTTCAAGCGGAGGAGGGATTTGAATCAACAGAGGTTCGATTATGGTTTTGGGAGGAAATGATTTATAGTTTGGGAAGAAATCAGAGAATGAAAATAAAACGAGGCATGAAAAAAAGGGGGAATGAAAATAAAACGAGGGAACAGAAAAAGAAGGAAAAGCGGGGAACAAAAAAAAAGGAGACGTCAATTTTTTTGCAAGCGATTGGCGAGGGCCAAGGGGAAAAAGACATGTGATTTTAGTAATCTGTCGCTGTTACATCGTTTAGGGGTTTTAATTTGCGACAGATTAGCGAGGGAACATTTTTTTGTCGATAAATTCTTACCAATCCGTCGTTGATCCCTCGTTAATACCTCTCTAAAATTTTATAATTATTTTGGTTAAAATATTTGCGCGTTCCGTTACTAATCCCTCGCTAAACCGTCACTGATTAGCTACTAATAGAATCCGTCACTGATTTCGTAGCTGAATGTCAGATTTCTAGTAGTGCAAGCATACATTAGTTTTTTAATATTTTTGGAGTGACATGGGTGTGATTTAATGATAAGGTGTGATAAGATTGATTTACTAAAGTGTGGTGTGACCGATATGACATTCAAGAATCTTTGATCCGTCCGAACTAATACAAACATATATGAAGAGATAATAAATACAACATGACTTAAGTATACTATTGGCATGGAGATTATATGTTTCCTCAGAATCTATATACCATCAGCTATTTGCATGGTCGCTCAATCATATGTCATTGAACAATTATGCCATGGCAGTCTCTTAGTCTTGTTAATTATAGGCCGAAAACCAAGGTAGTGTTTGTTTTTTGTCTGAAGATCTGCGTGGCATCTTCTGTCTGCGTCGCGCAGACCACGCGCAGACATTAGTTTTCGCAGACTGTTTGTTTTTTTGAAGACTGCAGACCTAAAAATGTCTACGCGTCCTCTTCTTGGCGCAGATGTGGACCAGAGTCTTCTAAAATCTTCAGACATCTTCTAACCTAAAAAAACATATATATCTTTATTTTTTTAAAATTTTTTTTTTTAATTTATTTTTTTTTCCAACTTTATTAATGATAAACAATTTGAAAAAAAAATTACAAAACTTAAAAAAAACGTTCGGCGATACAAACATTATATTTTTGACAAATTTATAAATAAATATCTATTTCAATAATAGTCGTTGAAGTTGTTTATATAAATATGAAAAAAAATCTATATTCATATATTTTTTTGCCAAATTTTGTAAAACATTATTTAATACAGTATCATCAATTTCTGGAGAAAAAATATTTATGGTACGTTTTTAATGGATTTAATTGAAAAAATCGAAGTTTATTTCCATCCATTTATGTATCAAATTCTTTGATCACTAATTATAATGTTTAGTTATAACTTTGCAACCAAAGTTGTTGGTTTTTATCAAATATATACGTTAATTCATACCATTTTTATTTTTATTTTTTATACAATAATACATAAAAGTTGATCTAGATTCGTTAATTATTTATAACAAAGTCATAAAAATATTAAAAAATTACTTTGAAGTTAAAAAAAATCAGTTTATTTAGATTTCAGTTTATTTTAGTAGCCCGCAGATGTTAAAAAACAGTCTTTTTTTTTAGACTGCAGACGTTTGGTTCACCTCTTCTACTGCAGAGGTCTACAGATGTGGTCCGCAGACTGCAGACATTTTGCCGCAGACTGCAAAGTAACCATGGCCCCATGGCCTGCCGAATTCATCTATACCCATCGATATTTATGTATCTGCTGTAAAGATACAAACTCATTTTTGTCCATAATACATTGCCAATTTTTCTTTCTACAAATCTCTAAATTAAAACCGGCACGTGTTCAAAAAATTCCAGATTTTATCCGAAGCGAAAACCATGTGATATTTGAATATTGTATTAAAATTGTTGGGTGAATGTATTACAGATGACTTTGTTACAAAGTAGCTCGCCCTCTTATTGAGATATTTTTGTTGCTATTGATCACTTGGTTACAAAGTTCTTGGTTACAAGATGGTTGGGTATTTGGCACATAACATTGAAAGTAAAGAGTGCCAGATGGGTTTATTGGAATGGGTTTCTTTGCAACTTGCAAGCTTCAAGTTCTTGATCGCTGAATGTATGGAACTACAATGGAGTTTGTGAGTTGTTGGGGTTTTGAGTTTCACTTCACGATTTGATGTTAGTTTTTAGCTTAAAGTTCATTGCCTCTTGGATAGTTGGTGTATCTCTTCATTTTACTTTCATTGTTGGAGAATTTTCATGTATTTCATGAAATTTATGTTATTTGATGTTTTTGAAGAAGATAGTTTAAGGTAAAATGATCTTTTTTATTATTTAGCACAAGCACAATAATTCAGAAGTTTCAACTCTAAGTTTCAACCCTAAGTTATTGACATTCTTAAAATTTAAATTGTAAGAATTCAAATTCTAGCAAACAATCCCTAAGTTATCTTGGACTAAATGGCCAAAAAAACACAAATGTTGCTATTGACATTTTGTAAAGTTATGTTGTTTTTGAGGGCTAGCAGTTTGCTAGACTGCGTAAAAATACTTCATTAAACGAGACAAAACTTTCCAAATCAAACCCTTTATGCACATTAATGTATTGTAAAATATCTATGTTTATTTAGACTTATCTACATAAAGATAAACTGTTTTCCCAATAAAAAATCACGAGTTAAATAAATCATAGAAATACATCAAAATAGTAGGGACAATGCATATGGGTGGGTTCAGATGTTTGGAAATGGAAAGGGTAATAGCTCCAAATTCATTAATTCTGACGAGTCAAACCTCTTCCATGTCAAACTTGTACCTTACCTTAGATACCCAACACCCCTGTCCCCCGTTGACATTTTTATATAAAATATTCATATTTTTATTGCACCAAGTACTATCATCACAAATCTACGGGCGTTCAGGTCATGTAAAACAACTTATTACAATTATGTTTCATTCGAATCTGAGCTTGCGTTATGTTAATTTGCCAAAATGATACCTCTGTACGAACAAATTAATTAAATGCATGTAATTCTAGTATATCAGATAATATGATTAACACATCCCCACATATATCTTTATGGACTTTTTGACATGAACTGTGACTTACGTTGACTATAATAATTCCACGTATTTTAATATATAGAATAAATCCTCACAAAATAGTATACGCTATGCTTTAACGTACATGTAAATATGTAATGTAAAATACCCATATATAAAATATATTGAATATTGCAACTAAAGAATCTGATACTTATGCCTATGAAAACTGTCATTCTTGAGGGACTTAGCTATTGGAATGGCTTGTATCTGTTGGAAATGAAGATTAAAACGGACGAATATTTTTATGGTTACTCGCCCGAATGACATACTGTTATGTAATATTTAGTGGAGAGTTTCATCATCAACTACTGATATTTGCATGCACAAAACTAATAATTTGTTGTACCGAATTTGCTATATCTTCAGCAGAAAACCTCGGTTCGCTAGCAACCTACAAGTTCATTGATTATCAAACATGTTAGATACTGATTTGAACGGAAAAAAGAGGAAGAACGCAAGTGTGAATCGAGGAGAAGTGATGATACCTTGACATTGAATGAATAGAGCACAGTCTGTTCAATGGTGGTGATGTTGGTATGGAGGATATTGAACTGTAAATCTTCAAGTGCAGCAATGATTTTAATAAGCTGACCAGACCTTCTCCGACACAAAATCTTGATCATGGCGTCAAACCCTAAAAGTCTCACTTCGACATCAGCCAAGCATGACTTGCTCTCCGCCATCTCCTCCTTCAGTCCACCGTCGAATTCAACCAGCTTCATCTGATCATCAGGCGGTGGGTAGAACACTCCCGGTGGACCTTGTTGAGCTTGCTGAAGGATTGGAAGAGATGATGAATCTCCGACGACCCTGGGAGTGTCGCCATAGAGTCTTCGTCGTTTTTGTGACTCCAGACATTGAAGAAGTTGTTCTAACTCCCTCACAAACTCGATTGCACCACCGATAATTGAAGCTTGATCACCCTACAGTTAAAGTAATCGTCAAAAACAGTTGTTTTTGCAGAGATTCAGCTTTAGAAAGCTAAAGATAAATTGATAAATTTATACCCTTTGAACATAAGATCCGGGCATGAGAGACCTAAGAACACGTAGATGTTCGTTCATTTGTTTTCTTCTGTTTCTTTCGACTGCGATATGAGTCATTCTTTGGCTCTCAACTTCCTCACTCGTCTTTATAGTTCTTGGTCTTTTTCTCTTGTTCTTTCCATCACCGACTAGGGTTTTATGAGCATCTTCACCTATAAATTGAAGTCGAACAGACGTACCCTCAGAAACCCTACCTTCTTCATCTCTTTCTCCTCCTTCAATCACTACTCGAGTCTCGTTTTCATCGTCTCCAAAAGGAGCAAGTAGACTCTGATGATCTTCTTGAATATTCTTCTCGTTTAAAACTGGGAATTTTAAGAAGTAAACCGGATCTATCCCATTTTCTTGATCTTCGTCATGATGATGGCTTGTTTTATTTTGGTTCAAAGCCAACTTGGGTCCAAGATCTGCAAACTGCATCACATCTGCAAAACTTAACTTATCCAACGAGCTTGAGCTACAAAAACCACCAGAATTAGGTAGTTGTTGTATCGGATTATTGATTAAGTAATCCACCATTTGGTTCCCATTCTCGTATGTGTTTTTAACCATGAACTGCTGCTGCTGCTGGTGCTGATTGTGGTGCTGCTGATGTTGATGAAGATGATGATGGCCATGGTCATGATCACCATTGAAGTCCACCCCAAGAAAACCTCCCTGCAAGAGTTCGAATTCCGTGTAAAACAACATGGTGATGAAAAAAGACGGATATTTATGGTTCATATGTTCATACCGAGTAGTTGGTATCATCTTTCTCCATGGGTATATATATACAAAACAAGAAAGACTTTGACCAATAATCGAAACCAAAAAGACAAACTCTTATGTAATTTGCAGTATAATATGGGTCCAGAATTTAGTAAAATAGTAATCAATTAGTAAATGATGGAGATAACGGAGTGGGGTTAGGCCAAGAACATATGGACAAAGAAGGGGGAGCTAGGCAGAGCTATATATGGTCTTAAATATGCATGATGATCAAGATTGTGGCGAGGTTTATCTCTATGTAACGTGCCATAGTTGGTCTGCTAGGGATAGCTTTGACTTTATATGTATACATTGTACACGAATATTTTTTTTAACATAAAAAAATAAAGAAATTAAAATTATTATTTTTATGTGAAAGAGGAGCCTTTGGATTGATTAATAAGCAGCTCACAAGATCACCTCGCAAATTTTACACCACCTTTTTAATTAATGTGAATCACAAGCACACAACGCTCTTTACCACCATCACCTTCTCTTCTCATGACACGCTTAATTCATTAAGACGCTCACCTTTTCAACATTTGAATTTTGAAATTTCAGTTTGACGTAAACTTATGTATTATTCAATAAATTGTAAAAATTATTTTATACTATTAATTAATAAACAGCAGAAAATAAGGTGTATATTTAGAACCCTCTACATCCTTGGGAACGTAGTTCTCTACACTCTCATTTACTAGAGAACGGCTTTTGCAACAAGCCAGGGGATGGAAGATGTAAGAAAATGCGAAGATTTCTATATATATAAACTTTAATTGTTTTAATTTCATTTATGCAACTCATTGTTATATTAGGACAAATAAACATGTGATCAGCTAAGAAATGTATATCCACACCCTTTTTTAATCATCATAAACAGCTGATTATTTTTTTACATTAATTGTAGAACTATAGGTCCATAATGGACGCAAATCATAGTCATTTTGATTTCACGGGTTTTTAGAGGTAGATCGGTTTATAATATAGCTACTTAGGTCATTTACTTATGTTATTTCTCCCTTCATCCATGAACAATCAAATGGAATGTTGATTATGCAACCTATGTGCGTCCTACATGCATGACATTTACAAGAATTTTTTAGATGTAGGCAGACTAAAGGACTAAATCTGTAAAAGTAGAGGATGATATATCTTAAAACATCTACAATGCACTAAACTTATTATACTTTAATGGATTGACACATCATAATTTTATTTACTATACAACTCTAGATTAATTTTCCTACAATACATTGAACTCAATAAAATGCTAACATGACATCCAACAATGATAGAGTTTAATCCATTAAATGCCAATTAACCATGTCACCTCATTCAACTCTCACTACAAGAAACAGAGTCTTTAGCGGCGACATCAATAGCGGCGACAGGGAGCTTTAGCAGTGACAAATTAAAAAGTCGCCGCTAAAGGCATATGTCGCCGCTAAAGGCTGAATGACACCGATCCGCTCTTTGACATTTTGGCAAACACAAATCGTCCGATCGTGGTTCTAATCCAACGGCTAGGGTGCTCGTGGAACGCATAAAGGAAATACCGGCGACTTCTGTCGCCGCTGAAGATCCAAAAAAGTCGCCACTAATAATTCCCTCCTGATAGTCGCCGCTATTGATAGTTGTCGCCGCTAAAGACCAATTTGTCGCCGGTAAAGGTGTCGCCGCTAAAGGCCGACGCAGTTAACCCCAAAAAACTCGATCTTTTTCCTTTTGCTCTTTCTGTTTCACTTCCTTCGCCTCTTTCTCTTCTCTCGTCTGCATCTTACTTCGCCGATTATTGTGGGATACCAGTGAGAATTATCAATTTTGGGTGTGTGAAATTGTCCACAAAGAAGATACCACCGGTGGAGAAAGATTTTCCGGTGAGGACCAAGCTTTTCCGGCGACACCAAGCTTTTTTCGGCGACACCAAGCTATTTCCAGGTCAATTTTCGGTCCCTTTTCTCTTGTAACATCGATTTTAAGCTTATTGGAGTGATTAATTGTAAAAATTGTCAATTTTAGTTTTGTTAATTGTGTTACTACGTTCCCGACCACCACCCGCGACTACCGCCACCACTGGACCATTTTCATTGATTTCCGCCACCACAGGTTCTATTTACTTCTATTTATTGTGAAATTTTAGTTTAATTGCAAAATATATGTAGTTGTCTCAATTATTTGAAAATTGTCATATGTATGTATATTTGATATCGGCCGTAAACCTTCTGCTCTCCCACCGATTTCACAGATGTCGCAACCACCACCACAATCATCACAACCATCACAAGTAAAACAAGATTATTTAATTTCAATAAATGCATGTTGAGTTGGTAATTTTTGTTGGTGGTGATTATTTTCTAAAAGCTTTGGTAATTAGTTTTTTGTCCCAAGTGCAACAAATAGCAATGTACTTTGGTTTTTTGTCTTAGTTTAAAAATAGCAATGTACTTTGGTATCATAAAATGCATGTTGATTTGGTCATTTTGGTTTTGTGGTGATTATTTGCTAAAAGGTTTGGTAATTGGGTTTTTTGTCCCAAGTGCAACAAATAGCAATGTACTTTGGTTTTTGTCTTAGTTTAAAAATAACGATGTACTTTGGTATCATAAAATGCATGTTGATTTGGTCATTTTGGTTTTGTGGTGATTATTTGCTAAAAGGTTTGGTAATTGGGTTTTTGTCCCAAGTGCAATAAATAACAATGTACTTTGGTTATTTAGCTTACTTTAAAAATAGAAATGTAGTTTGGCATCATAAAATGTATGTTGATTTGGTCATTTTGGTTTTTGGTGAGTATTTGCTAAAAGCTTTGGTATTTAAGTTTTTGTCCCATATGTAAGAAATAACAATGTACTTTGCTTTTTTTGTCTTAGTTTAAAAATAGCAATGTACTTTGGCGTCATAAAATGCATGTGGATTTGGTAATTGTGTTTTCGTCCCTAGTTGGAAAATTGAACTTATAATTTATATATGTTGTTATTTATTATGTAGTTGGAAAATCTTCGGGCATTGCTCAACGACCCGGCATGTAGGGAGGAGCTTTATTCGTTTTTTCAATCACAAAATAATCAAGGAGGAAATGATGGGAACGAAGATGATGATATGTAGGGAGGAGCTTTATTTGTCTGTTATACTTGTCACACTTTGCTATTTGTTAGAATTGTAAAACTTACTTTGCTACTTGTTAGAATTATCAAACTTTTGGTTGTTTTATTTTGGTATTAAATTAATTATAACAGTATTTGGTATTTAATTTGATGTTGTTATGTAATTTTTGGTATAGAATAATTATAACAATATTTGGAATAAATTATACCCAAAATCGCAAATATAAAAAAAAAATGAAAAACGTTATTACCGGCGACACTATTACCGACGACGTGACTATTACCGACGACATTCTCTTTAGCGGCGATAGGTACATTAGCGGCGACTCTTTACCGGCGACGTGTCGCCGCTATTAGCTTTAGCGGCGACTTCTCGACCCTTTACCGGCGACTTTTGTCGCCGCTAATTGCTCATTTCCTTGTAGTGTCTCTCATTAAACTATACATTATGGATGCTCTTAGGGCTAATGACCATAAAAGTCTCTAAGTTTCTCATTTAAATTTAATTTGGGTATTTATAGTTCATTAAAATTGATGTTTTTAACATTTTTTGTCAAGTTTACCTACGTTACATAGGCGTTGACATGGTGATTATTTATTTTTTTTATATATTTTTATGAATGCATGTATATACTTTGATTCAAATATATTTTTAAATGTATAAATATATTTTTAAAGCAAAAAATATGTGTTAAAAATATAAATATACTTTAAAGGTATTTACACGTTTAAAAAACATATTTATACATTTATAATGTATTTATATATCAAAAATTTATATTTATTAGTATTTAATAGGTATAAATATATATTTATTTCCTATAAAAAAAATATTGTTTAAAATCTATTAGTGTGTTTTATATTGATAAACTGCATATATATATATATATATATATCTATATATATATATATATATATATATATATATATATATATATATATATATATCAAGGTTCTAAAAAGATCACCATGGCTTCGTCATGGCGGGTCATGACTCCAAGGCTTGTACATGTCGTCAAGCTTTAACAAAATGTCGCCTTAAGTCATATATGTATATGAAACGAATAATAGTAGAAAAAATATATATAATTATTAATTATATACAAAATTGTCGTCTTAAGTCACGCCTTACAAACGACGTGGCTCATACGGCTTGAAAAAGCTTAGGGTTTGACATTGCCGCCCAGTCATGTCTTACGTTATTTAGAACATATATATATATATATATATATATATATATATATATATATATATATATATATATATATATATAAGCGTAAATTACACAAATCATTTCTCGTGTAGGTGACATAATGCACGTTCAGTCGTTTGTTTTTCAAAAATTAACTCGGTCCGTCTCACATATCATTAAATGTTGCATGTTTCGTCCTTTTTTGCATGAAATAACTATATTGTGCTTTCATCGTTTTATTTTGTTTTTTTTAATATTTACTTATTATTTATAAATTGAATTAAATTGAATTAATATGATTTTTAGTGGGTGTCATTAGCTCCCACACTCCCCTTCTCCTTTTTCTTCGCCCTCCATATCGTTCACCTATAGGCACCACCACTACCCATATATTCTGGCACCACCCTCCACCCTCAACCATCTCGTCTCATCTCAACCAACATATGAAAAACTGCAGCTTGAGTGAGAATATTTTCTATCTTTTTGTCCCCTAAATCAACATCCAAAACATTTTTCATTCCATACTTTAATAGAAGTAAAAGAATGGTGAGAAAGGAGATAGATGGTTGTAATGCCATAAATTTAGCCTAACAAAATGTCACTGAGATAGATCTATTGAAACCACCGTCGACTACCATCATCACCAGATCTATAGAAACCATCATCGACTAACACAAGAAGCTGCTTCTCTCCACTGGAAAACCACGTCTTCGTCAGAGATATGGACCACCAGAAAGTAGCATACATATTCTCTCGATGTCTTCAAGTTATTGTTTTTCCTCTCTTCACCAGATCAACATAACCACTACCTCAAATCTAAGGTTTTGAACAGACGTTTCGATAGTTACGGTTTCAGGCAGCGTTAGGGTTTTAGTAAAGATCTAGGGTGGTGATGATGGATCACAAGTGGTTTAAGCGCACAGGTGGTGATGTCTGCTTATATGTAGTGATAGTTTAAAGAAGTGTAAATCTGCGAGGTCACCTTATTCGATGAGGCGATGGCTTCAGATATCGCTAGAAGTGGCTTCAGACATCGATAGTTAGGATGTGAGTATGTGTGAGGGAGTTGGATAGAGATGGTAAAAGATATTGAGATAAGTTTTTGTTCGAGGGTGGAGACGGTGATGGTGGTCGGTGACTAGTCGGCGGGTTGTAGATCTCATCTTTCCCTCACATCGAGTTTGTATGTGTGTGTGTATGTTTATGTGTTTTTGTTTTTCTCTGTTCTCTCATATCAATAACACAATGAAGGGAGTAGATAGAGTGGGGAAGTGAAGGGGGAGGGTTGGTGTAGTGTAGTGGGGCTTTAATTTTTTTTAATTAAAAATAATAATAATAATAACATCAAATATATTAAAAAAATAAAAACATAAGGTTATTATGGTTATTTAAAGCCTTGTTCCCGAGTTTTTTTTGTAAATTCAATAAAGGAAAGGGAAGAAAAATTTTCACAGAAAGAAAGGGAGGGGAAGGAAAATATTCATTATTCCATGTTCCCAAGTTCGAAGAAAATGAAAGGAAATTTTTAAATTTTTGTGTTCCCGAGTTAGGAGGAGCAAGAAAATAAAACTTCAAATTTTTTTCCCCTTACTTTCTTCCTAAATCCGCCCAATTTGAGAGGAAAATTTGAAAGGAAAATATGGCTCTAAAATCCATTCCTTCCCCTCACTTTCCTTCCATTAATGAAACTCGGGAACACGATTTTCCTTCGACACCCCTCACTTTCCCTCCGCATCCTTACATTTTCCTACATAAGTAGAACTCGGGAACAAGCCATAAGTTCTCGCATAGACTAAGGTTGCAACACATTCGTCTTTCAGGGATGAAGTGTGCGAGCTTAAACCAAACAAGGAACGGTCCGAGTTAATGTTTGAAAATATAGATTGAGTGTATCTTTTGACACGTGCGCAAAGGACTATTCGTGTAATTTAATCTACATATAAATATGTGTTTTATACAATATAAACCATACTTTTATATGAAATAAATATATATTTGTATATGTATATTTTTAATATATATATATATATATATATATATATATATATATATATATATATATAAAGTTATACATATGATGTCAAATGTATAAATGCGTAGTTAAATATTTAAATAAGTTTTTAAATGAATAATTACCTTTAAAATACATTTATATCTTTGAAAACATATCTTTTTATCTTTAAAAATATTGTATACATTTAAAAAAAATATTTAAATAATATAGGTATACATGCATAATAATAATAATAATAATAATAATAATAATAAAAAAGTGTATATATATATATATATATATATATATATATATATATATATATATATATATTCTTAATAAAAGAGTCTTTAAAAGGACACGGGTCCTCTTTTGCATCTTATTGTTTGCCACGTGTCAATCCACTAAAGCTTTACACTCTAATTTTCCCGCCTAGGAAAATACTGCATCATTTGATCATCAAGTTCCTACATAGCGTCATTTTAGTTTTGATTAATTAAAGGATTTATCTCATAGCCGAAATTACCTGCATCAAAACCATAAAATCAGCGGTTGTTATTTTAAATTTGATCTTTCACCAAAATATCAACATCCAACATAAAAGGAATTCGACAATATATTTATATTAGTTGATATCTCATATCTGAAAATGCAATCAAATAATTTTAGAACTTATCTCTTCAAATACAAAAATTCAAAAATATATAGATTTCGTTTGACTAAATCGTTTCAAAGAAAGTTTTGGTATTTTGAATTTTGATTTACTATATCCCTTAAAATCTGCATTTATTTTTAAATATATTAATCTTATACCAAATATACATCATTTCCGTTTATTTGATCGTGTTATAAAAACCGAACCCTAAAACAAAATTATTTTCTCCTTGAAATTTTATCTTCTTTTGGCGTTTTTTTCTTTTCAGTCTGCACCTGTTCTGTGTTCAATCCATCAAGTATGCTGCTTTTTATTTTCTGAAAATGCAATCAAAAGTCCATTTTATATCATTTTATATTCGTGTATACGATAAACAGTAACTATGTTTGAGTGTTTCTGTGATTTGAATGCTTTATGTTATTTTGTTTTTGTTATTGGTACTGCATGTGTTTGTGTGACAACCAAACAAATTTTTTCTCCTTAATAAAAGAATGTTTAACAAAAAATTCCGAAATTCTTCCTTTATTTTTTCATATTTTACCTTTTTCTAATCAAAGGCCAAAAAGGGCACGACAAACAGTAACTATGTTTGAGTGTTTCTGTGATTTGAATGCTTTATGTGATTTATTTTTACATTTATAGCATCATACTTTCTGTTGCAACAGTTATATAACATAAATTTGTATTATTTCAATTTTGTACTCAAAGGTAAAAAAAAGATTTATTTTATGTTGTCTTATTAATTGATGATTTGGATTCTTTCCGTTGTCTTATTAATTGATGATTTGGATTCTTTCTTCATTTATTTTTTTGTATTGTACATTTTTCTAATCAAAGGCCAAAAAGGGTTGTTTACTTTCATTTATAGCAGATATTTATTTTCACATTTATAGCATCATACTTTCTGTTGCATCACTTATATAACACAAATTTGTATTATTTCAATTTTGTACTCAAAAGGAAAAAAGATCTATTTTCTGTTGTCTTACTAATTGATGATTTTATAACAAAGTTTTATTTTTTCATTTATAACATCTTACTTTCTGTTGCAACAGTTACATAACACAAAAAGGGCATTTAACTCTTATTGTAAATATTTTATTGACTTTGATTTTTCTTTGCAGATCGATGGAACAGCCAAATGTTACTTTGATTGCAAATTTGGATGTACTTAAAGATGATTCGACTATCAAAGTTAGAGTGATAAACCTATGGAACCTTTTTTCATTCTATAACAAGGACGAACTTTTCTCCATTGATTAATCTTAATAGATGAACATGTATCTTACAGCCTAACACTATATATTCATTACACATGCAAAATGTAATATGATTTAATTATAATTTTATATATTCTACTTTTTTTAGGGTACCAAGATCCAAGCAAATATATTAAGAAAAAACATCTATCGATTCAAAAACATTCTAAACGATGGCTTGACATTTTACATATAATTTCCAAGTTTTGCATCTCAAAGGATGGGTGGTTTTACTTTAACTCGGCAAGATCATAAACTTACTTTTCTCCATAACACTGTTGTTACGGAGTGTCATGACTTTTCTGGACCTACATTTGGTTTTGATTTTGTTGATTACCAGTCTCTTATCTCATTGGTCCATCCTGAAAACACCGCTATCGGTTAGTTGTATTTTATTATATATTAATTATGGTCAATTTTATTGTTTGAATAGAAATAGAATATCATATTTTTAAATTCATAACAATATTTAATTGATCTTTTTTGTTGTTCATAGATGTTATTGGATTAGTCGTTGCAATTGGTAAGATGGGGCGAGACAATGATGATATGAAAAAACACAGGCTAAACATCCAAATCCAAGATGCAAAGTTTGTTATTTTATATTTTTATTTTTGGATATTAGATTATATAGTAATCATTTCATTTAATTTAAAACTTTTATTTGGCAGTGGTTTGCAATTAAGTGTCAATTTGTGGGGTGATTTTGTTTACAAAATGCAAGGCTTTCTTGATAACAATCCACACAATCTTCGTATCATTGTTATCCTTCAATTTGCAAAACTTAGTATTTGGAGAGGTATACTGTATTATTTTGTTATTAAATATTATTTTTTAATCATTAAAATAACATTTAGTAAAATCTTTTTTATAGATCGTCCCACAGTTAACACCTACTTTTCTGTGTCGAAGCTGTTCATTAACACGGACATTGATGAAATCAATGTTTTTAAGAAAATGTAATTTATTTTATATCATTCTAATTTCTACAATTAACTTTTATGTGACTATATTAGTTATATGTGACTAATATTAGTTATTTATGTTATTTCATTCTAAATTCTACACTTAACTTTTATGTGACTAATAATAGTTAATTTATGTTATTTCATTCTAATTTCTACAATTAACTTTTATGTGACTAATATTATTTTATTTTTTTAACAACCAGTTTGGATGGAAATGATCGCCCCGATTCATCCATAAATACATTCACACTTATGAAGTCTAATAAAGTTTCTGAACATGATGATTTCATGGTTAAGTTTCAGTTCAAGACAATTGTTGATGTTTCTGAACCCGTGGAGGTGTGGTTTTTATATATTTTATAATCAAAATAAACCTACTTTTTTTATTATATATATTGAATTATCAAAATAAAATTAATATGCAGAAAAAATACATTCATTATCGTGGGCACTATAAAGGGAATTTTACAAAATGAACCATGGCATTATTTGGCATGTACAAATTGCAACTACAAAGCAGTTCGGCGTTGTGGTGCACACGATCAACCTAATGCTGATGGATTAACTAATGGTTATGAATGTCATAATAAGGAGTGCACAAAAACTGAAACTTCAGTTATTCTGAGGTTATTAATTTCCTACTTAATTAGTAAAACTTATATTATATTTCATATATATAAATATTATTTTGTATTTTCATTTTTTTTATATTTATGATTCTGATACGTGTGCAAGACAGTACTGGTACTATTACCTTAACCATGTTTGAAAGAGATGGAAATTATCTTTTGAAGAAATCAGCCAAGGATCTGTTTAATAAAACATTAAAGGTGGTGCACCTTAATTAAAATTAATTAATACATTCACTTAATCTATTCACTTTAACCAAACTTTTTTTTAACTTTTTTTATTGTAGCTTGGTTTTAGTACTGCTTTTTATCCCGGAGAGATAAATGCACTAAAAGGTTTGAAATTGGCGTTTAAAATATCAATCAATCACTTCAACGTCTCAAAAAGGAACAACGAATATAGTATATGTAGAGTCAGTGATGATGAAAAGTTGATTGAAGAACTTGAAAATAAGTTTACCGTTACACAGATTATTATTATTATTATTATTATTATTATTATTATTATTATTATTATTATTATTTATATGTATACATAAACTCTATTGTATTTACTAAATAATAGGGTTTATGGTATTAATGTTTACAGGTTTATTTAGGATGCTGATATATGTTCATATTTTTTATTATTTATTATGCAGGTTGATACTTCACAGTCATTTGATATTGGTGAAGCTAATTTTGAATCACAAGATAATAGGATTTTGAAGGTTATATAGACATTATATTTGCATCGAATTATGTTAGTTTTATTACTTCACTTTATAAATAAATTAAGTACACCTGTTATTTTTAAGATGCAATTTCTGGGACAGACAACAACATAACACATTCGACTGTTGATAAAACTCAGCAACAAGTCCCAAGAAGAGTTTGAATACACCAACAGCTTTGAAGAGAAATTTGGAAGAAGTATTTGATTTGGAGTTGAATGAAAAGTTATCATCATCCAAAAAATCCAAAAATTTCATCGGAAGGACGCATTAACAAAATTGTGAAGGTAAAGTTGGAAAAAAGTGGCTGAGTTTTTATTTTAAGGTGAAGTTTCATAAGGTAGTGGATTATGATTTTTAAACAATGATTATGCATTTTATTTTTCATTCGGTACTTTGACATTGTGGTTTTGAAGTTTCAAATTTTGGTTGGGGATGATTTTTTTTAATGGTATGTTTATCCTACATTCATAATATATTATGACAATGAATTTATGATTTAGAAATTTTTTGGTTGTTTAATTTATATTTTTAAATCTGTTTTTCATGTTATCAACATTTTAAGCTAATGGCTATACATTAAAATCATAAGGACTCAAGTTAGCACATAAAGAGATTCCCATTTTTGTAATCATGCATATAAACCCATAGGACATTACTACATTCAGATTTAAAGAAACTTACCATGTTTCTCAAGAAATCTTAGACCTTTTTCATGAAAATATGGGCCTCTATCTATCTGTTCAATAGCTAACAATATTGGACGCCCAACAACCAAAGATTTGATTGGTCTTTTATACCTCCCTACAAAAAAATTTCAAAATGAAATGAATAACTTTTGAATCTAAAAAGAAATAAGTAAAAATATTGTTTTGTAAAGGAAAAGGATAATGTCACCGCATATGTCACTTCTTTTGTTACATTTTGACCAAGGAAAATACTCATTTAAACGCAGTGACAAACACAGTGAACAAACAAGCAATAACTTCAGTCTTCTTTCACCATATTCTAAAAAGTGAACAAACATGATCAACGCGGTGACAAACACAGTGGCAAAATTGACTTAATTTTTAGCACGGCAAAATTTAAATTCTTATTGCTCAAACATTGTCACCATTACCAATAACATAAACAATTAAATTTCCTTTCAAACTTTGTGAAAATCCCAATTCAACAACATATAAAGTGAAAACAAAACCACTAATACTTTTTTGAAATATCAACACACACAAATATGATTGATTGTATTTAGAATCAAAACTATGGAAAAAACCGAAAAACCATGCCAAGAAACTGGAACAATAATGACACTTACAGTAGAGATACACTAAAGGGTAAAATCGTCAAATTACAAAATAGGCATAATGACACAAATATAATTGATTGTACGAATAAGCATAATTTTGTAAATATGATTTTGAAAATAAGAAAAATGCAAACAATATAAATAAATTATCACAAATATGTACAAATGCACTAAAGGGTAAAATCGTCAAATAACAAAACTGTTGGAGGTTCGCAGCCATCTCTTCTATTGTTATACTTTCTCTTTTGTTTTAATTAATATCCGCTAAGATATATGTAAGAACAAATCAATTTTTTGGTGTTTGGGTGTGGTTTTAACTTCAATATTGGACTTATTTCTCAGACTTAACAGAAGCTCTATAAGTTGCTATAGTTGAAAATAACACCTGTAGAAATATCACCACTTTAAGTGGTTATTGTGTGTGTGATTTAATGGAACGGATAGAGATCATATGTATTATACCTAAAATTGAAACCCTTAAAGTGGTGATATACAAATGTCATATAATTTGGAAGGTATATTAACTAAAGTGAGTGTTTTATTTACTAATATGATACCATGATTAATTTAGCACCAAATAATGTATAAATTTTAGCAAATTCAAAATTCAAATTTTTAAACAAATACTCAAATTTCAAAATTCGAACCAAAATCATATCTACCTGATTGTGTTTCCGTTCTTAAAGAATTTCAGGGTATTCCTTTGAACAGCTTCAGTTTTCGCTAATATCTTCAGATACAACATTTCTACCCGTGCCAGAGAAACATGACCCTTGTTTGGTCTTTTTTGGTGTTTCAGCTCCGGCGAAGCTCCAATATGCTCTAGTTACATCCAAAGTCTTATAGAATACTACTCCACTACAAATTACATCAAATAGACATCAAAACATGAGTAGTACGTGCATTCTGATAAAATACATGAGTTGATCATTATTTAAACCAATGCGGACACAAATACATAAAATTTGATGCAAAATAATACTAAAAACTAATATAAAAGATGCATAAAATGGCATCTAACAGTGATAAAAGTTACCATATTGAAAGTAGTTTCCTATAATAGGAAACTATAATAAATAATAACTAATAATGTTATAATCAAAATGAAATAAAATAAAAATGATACAATGGTATTGTAAGCTAATGATTAACAATAAAACGTTTAATATGTGGTGTGTGTCATGTACGTGTATGTGAATTACAAATAAAGGTAAAAGAGTTAAAAGAAGCCTAAAAGTTTCTATCAAGATTAAGTATGTAGTTTGTAAGAAATATGTATCTTTGAATATCTAATAGGGTCATGTGTGTAATGTATCTTAATACCAAGTATGTTATAGCATTCCTTAGATACAGGAAATTGAGAAGAAATGACCGACTGCGGAAGCATCGATTAAGTTTATTAACATAAGTAACAGGATGTGGTTATTATATATGTCACAAGTCTGTTAATTATTTCGATATATGTCTAGTAGTGTAATGATTGCTATTATAGTTTTGCATAATATAGTAGATATGGTCGTGTGGATATGCTTGGCGTATAATGTTGCACTAATGCAAGTTTCCAAACATATATTTTAGAAAATGAGATGTTACACTTATATATGAATCTAATAATGTGGATATGCACAATGGCAATCAATCATGATTGGCATCTCCTACATGAAAGAAACCTACATATCAAAAGTACAATCCAACAAACTCATATTGTTTTTAGGTTAATTATTTTAGTCTAATTGGGTCCTCTTTGGAGTTTGTTAAAATGTATTTTGTTTTTCGGTTGTGTTTATGAATCTATGAAACTTTCATGATTGGTTCATGTGAGTTAGAAAAATTCGCATGGCAAGGAAATTTATCGAAACAACTGCATGTTTGGTCAATGTGGTTTCTAAACCTTACATGCTTGATCCTTTACAAATGTAAAATGACATTTATATTCTTTTTAATTTATTTTATATCTTTTTAACTAATTATATTAAGTAATTGTTAAATATGGTTCACTACCTATCCCACTATAATACCACCGAAGACTATCTCTCTTTCAACCGCCTCCCCTTATTCCACTTATTCGCCTCCCATTCTGATTCCCCCTCTCCTCCATGTCTGAAATTGAAAACCTAGTTTTTTTTGGTTTCAATGTTCTTGAAGTCAAGAAAAGGGTTCTATTGAAGGCAGATGTAGGGAAAATCAAAAACCAAATTAACATCAGTTTAAATCTAAAATCTATGTCCATGTTCTTACTCATGTTCCGAAATTCAAAAAGCATCTTTAAATCCAGGGATAATCATATCCTCAAAACCCGATGTAGAGGACAACCTTCTTTAACCTATTTTTCTTCAAAACCTTTGATGTGTAAATATATTCATAACTCAAAACTAATATCTAGAAAATTACATCAACCCAATAATATATTTGAACCACATCGGGGTAATTTTGTGATGTTTGAATAACATGATGTCACAATAGCATGAACGCACACTATACCCAGACTTCATCATTTCCCACATGAACATGTATGGCGGTTCAGATTTACAACACAAGTTGTTTTAAAATCAAATACTTGAAAAATGTTGAACGGGAATAGAGACGGGATCTCAGGCGGGATCTTTGTTGCTTGCCACCGAACACACTTTTGCATCCTCTTGTGAAACACCATCTTTACATACGGGGTAAGTATGTAGTTAACCTCCCTGAAATGTAAATATTATCATTTATGGTTTTTGTACAAGTAAAAAATAATTCAATATTTTACGGTATTTTACCTCCTATGAAATTGCGTTCAACAAAATTATGTTGCATATTGGCAAAAATTTCTTCAGTGAGCGTTGTTATTGGTATATTTCGTTGAATAAGCGATAACACCAACATAAATTGGGAAATATTAATGTTCATTACATCCAAACGGATGTTAGGGAAATAGGGTCTTGCCCATTTCACAATACTGAAGTTGGCAAGCACCTAATGTGCATCATGGGTAATTAGCCGACGAAATGCTTGTTGAAAATCAGACATAGTATATGATTTGCATGCAGGGGTGAACAAATGTTCTAATTCTCGGTTTCCACCAATTCATGTTTGTAGCTACATGAACACACTCTTACACCAATACCAATGATAAGAATCAAAGAATACCTTACCTATGCAAGAACTAATGATATCGTTCATATTGATTAGGAACAATACTTCCCTACCCTCTCTGAGAGCTTCCTTTAACCTCATTAGGAACCAGGTATAAAAGTCGACATTATTTGCCACGTCCATACCAAATGCTAAAAGGAGGGTCTGGTTGTTCCCGTCCATAGCAACTGCTACGAAAATTGTGTTTAGGTAGTCCCCTCTTAGACGAATAATACCTACGAAGATGACAGACAGTAAGCAACCTATGAATGCATGGAGCTATTTTTTTGGGAACACAAAACAATTAGTTTAGTTGTAGAAACGTCCTCAGTTTTAAGGAAACAATAAAAATATGGAAAAATTTATACTACACATCCAATAGCCACAAAATAGACTTGGAAATGATTCATTACATCAGTTTTGATGTTCGTGTAAGTATGTGAGTTGGTTCGCTTAAGGTTGTGTAGGTAAATAGACAGATTGAAAAACTTTCTTTGTACTTACTCTTTGAGAAACTCATCTTGAAGCAGTTATAAGAAATAATTATGGATGATCCGAAGTAAGCGTCTAACTACATGCGGTAACA